AAAGGTGTAAATAGCAGAGGCATTCAAAGCCTCAGGTGCATTTCCTCGCATGAACAGGCACTCTGTGAAAAGAGTTCATGCTCCACTTCTGAGGAAGTATGTCAAGCTTCTACCAAGTGGCCTTCCATCCACAGTTTCATAACTGCTGCATAATCGCATGACACCCTTCCCCTGGATGCTGGATCACTAAGGGGGGAGGATGTCAACAAGGGTGCTTAGGAAAACCTTACATTCTTTTTTCAGTCACGCGTGGGTAAATCAAATGGTCTCTCCTTCCCTAGGGACATTTACTGCTTTCTACTGTTATGGCTTCCTGACGTGGAAGAGACTGAAAAAAGGAAATTCTACCTTACCTGTGAGTTTTCATTCCAGGGCCCTCCATGTCAGTCCGCCTTACCCTTCCTCAAAGGATTTTGTTTTGTCAGGGGATCTTCCTTTGCTCCTGCTTGCTTGCTAAGTACTTTGAAAAGGAAGATTTCCTCCAGGAAATCATGTCAGGGCTCTTCTGCAAACGGCTGGGTTGAATAGCACTTTTAAGCTTTCCTGTAACTTGTAACTTTCAGCTTTGGAAATTGCATTTCTCGGCAGTTTCTCTTGAGGGGCGGTACCAAGCTGGGGCTGGATGCTGAGCTAAGATCTGGTTTCCCCTACTTGCCATGGGGGAAGCCCCACAGTGAGGACTGACCAACTCAGAGGGTGCAAGTTCGTAGGTCAGACGCATTTTCCCCTTGTGGTGGAACTGAATAGGTCACGAACTCTTTATCTTCAACCACTGAAGCGTTAACCTACTTCACAAGCGTGTGTTCAAATGAGGTTATACGACAGATGTGAAATATCGCACATCTATGGATCTATCAATAATGCAAGTACTGTTGCCTGTTGTTGCATAAATATTTAGGTATGCAAAGTGCAGGAACCATGCTGACATCTAGGCATGAGCTTTCATCCCCCTTGACATGTGTGGGACAAACACGCCATAAAAATAATGCAGAAGCTTTGGCGTAAGTGGCTTTTTGTGCAACTTCAATTTAATAATTTAGCTTTCGTGATGTGAATAAATTAGATTGGATGTAGCAAGGTATTTATTTTTTTCTGAAGAACAGGTGAGCTCTTCTTGTGTTTTTTGTGGGATGCCTCAGATAGAGAGGGACAAGAAAAGTATGTTGAAGGGGCTGGTCAATGAAAGGATTTCTGATGAGATACCAGAGCTAAATGTGGATCTTGCTTCTGTTCCCTGTAAGCATTTTTCTCTGATCTCTCACTTGCTTGGACTCTCCTTTAATTTCACTGCTTAAATGCACAGGGCACGTCTATGCTGCTACAAAGGGTCAAGCTCGGCGCCATACTCAAAGCCATTCCAGCTGACCACCTACCTTGAAAACCTTTCTGATAGATCTCTGGTATCAGGCTCTGCTGATCTTCGGGGTCCAAAGTCAAGCTTGTCTCCAGTAGTGCTCCTGTCCATGTGTTTGAAACTGACCTGAGCATTGCAGCTCCAAACAGGAAATCCACCGCCACAAATCTCTCAGCTTCCTGTTCCTCGTTTCTAGCACTGCACCCTCCCACACTTCCTGTCTCTTTTAACCGTAACCAGAGCCAAGCACAGGAGTGACGGGCACCCTACAGAGTGGATCCTAGGAGAACTCATATTGTGAGTGATAGGCAAGGAGGGGGTGACTTATTTGGATCAGGTTGGTTTAAGCCAACTCCCAGCGAGTAGAGAGTATGTTTGTCATCGTAGACACACTACTCATTATTCCTTGCTCCTATCCCCAACCATTGGCTTGTTTATCTGGTAAACCCCTTTCAAGGTTGTTCCTCTAAGAATCTTATCATCTCGAAAGGCTGTCCAGCCACTAACCCTTGTTTTGCAGAGCTGATCTGCAACACAGCCTCAGAAAGTTTCACTGACTACCAGACAGTGGAGTAGTTTGGGTATGCCTGCGTGAGCTACAGTCACACCTTTGACTGCAATGCAGACATGCAGCAAGTCACTTTTGAAAGTGGGTTTTACACAGTGAGCTCATTCAGGTGCTTTAAACATCATTATACTCTGACTTCCTGGTAAGCATTCAGAAAGCTGGTGGCAATTCTTTTCCATTCTTTCCCAACAACCTGGAAATGCCCGAACATGGAAATATGAAAATATGTGACTACCTTGAGAGATGCTGCTTTCCTGGCATTGCTAGAATGTTTTTGAGATCCGTCCATCATTATTTTATGCTGAAGAATGCAGTAATGATGGGTTTTCTACAAGGCTGGGTTAACAAGGTGAAAGTGATTCATTTTATATTTTCTGTGTTAGAGGCTCACAGGAAAGCATGAGGTACTTTGCTTTTTAAAATGCAGCTGTCATCCAGGAAAAGGGAATACATTCAGATGTTAAAAGCAGAAGTGCTCCTGATTTATCACTGAGACCCACCTTCCAACGGTAAATTATTCATCCTTTTCCCTTTAGCAGTCAATCAAAGCTAGAGTGGACAAGTGTGTTATGCACTAATGTTGTAAACTTGGGTTCTAGCAGAAATTTAAGAGCAAGAGAGCTGGATTCCAGAAAGCCTTCTTTTTTCTTTGGAAAGAAATAGTAATTGCAGAACATCTTAAAATTCATCTCTTTTCATCTCTATTCACAAAGTCCAGGACTTCTCTGTTGAGAGAGAGAAAAAGCATATATGAATACAAGCCTAGCAGAAAATTAAACTATTTGTTTAAAATAAAATTAATATTATTAGTGGTAAAGTAGCCTTCTGATTTTTAGGGAAAGCTACTGAAGAGATAAGTTGTTACAAGTTTTCACTCAATTGGCCTATAATTGCCGGTTCCCCAATTCTCTTGTTCGCAAAGGAAAAAAAATGACAGCTATCATGAATTACATACATTTATTTCAAGACACGCTGAAGGATGTGAGATTCAGTATGAATTCCTATCTTTTCTTAAGTGATTAGTCATGTTTTTAGACCTTTGTGAGGCCACCTTCTGGACATGGCAGCATATGGCTCCCCACAGCTGTTTATGTCAGAGGGGGAGATGAAAATAGTTTTCGTCAAACTTTCCCCAAATTTTTCCTGTTCTGAACATCTTGGGGGTTCACACAGGATGTGGTTAAGCCAGTGGCTGTTTCAAGAAAACCATTGGTCTCAGCACAACTTTGCAAATTGATGTTTAGTCCAAAACTTGGTCTGAGAATCACTGAACTACATTGTGTTTCCAAATACCCCACAAGAGATGTAGAGGATCAAGATGGAATTATTAGCCATAAAGATGAAGGTAAAGAGGCAATGTTTCATCTTCCTGGTCAATAAACCAGCTCAGGAATATTGACATTCTGGTACTATGAGCTTGATAAGCTCTAGAAAGAAAGTCACATTAGCACAATAGCCATGACCAGTATCTCAACACTGTAAGAAGCACATGGTATTGTGTCATAACCACATTACCATCTGCTTATTAGGGCTGTACAAAGCTTCGGTCCCTTATTCGATTCTGCCCGATTCAGAGAGATTCAGAAAGATTCGATGTTTCATACACAGACACGGTTAAAATGTTTTTTCTATATACCTCTAAGTAGCAGGTGGCTCATGAATGCTGCCATGCTGGGGTGCATGGAGTGTCCCATACAAGCTCTTCCAGTCCACTTCTGGGTCTGCCAAGGAGCACACCGGGGAGGTAGGGAGAGGCCTGCATCCCCCTGGCCCAGTGTCTGGTGCCTCCTGGGTCTGGGTCCCCCTGCACACAGGGTCCCCCTGAAGCTGATCGCTCAGCCAGGGGGATGCAGGGAGCCCCCCAGTGTGCTCCCCCAGCGAACCCAGAAGTGGATCAGAAGTACTTCAGGTCCACTATCGGGTTCACCGCCGAGCACGTGGAGGACCCCCTTCCCGTGCTCCTGTGGGACACTCCATGCGCCCCAGCATCGCAGTGTTCACAAGCCACACCTGGTACCTCAAGGTATGTAGCAAAAACTTTTAAAGCTTTGCACACCTCTACAGCTTACTAATTGCAGTTAAGAGTTTCTAAGCCTTGGAAATTCAGGCTCTGGTGAATTCCAATCTTTGCACGTCTTGTATCTCATATTTTTTCTTTTTCATTTGTCACTTGTTTTTACTGACTGGGAGCTTTTATTGATTTTAGGTGTGAATGTATCATTGAGTGTGCATAAGCACCTGTGTGTATAAGTACCTGCAAATACTATGTGGTGAGATACCACAGGATAAGCTCCTCATTTTTCACAGCCCCCCAAAGTCTACCTTGAAATCTTTGAAAACGTGTGTTCCTAGCCTTGAAACAATGTGCGGAGAAGCCAAAATGTCAGCTACATGATAAGAAATGACAGATGTGAAACTGGCTATTCAGAGAGTTGGGTTAATGCAGGCGTTTGTGTTTGAGGAAAATAGCAATAGGGTTGTCAACACATGTAATAACTAAATCTAAAAATAAAATTGGCTTTTGGGGTTGTGGCAAGTTGCAACGAAGTTACAGAATTTAATGATTATTTGTATTCATTGAAATACACCGCTGAGAGTTAATTTGGACTGCTGTGGGAAAACCCTTTCATTGGAGACTGGAAACAACTGGACCATCACCTCTTTAAATTTCTTGTTGTAGACCTTGTAAGCATTGATTACATTCCGTAATGTGGTGACTAAATTGGTCATGTAAATTCCACTACTATGCCTTATTTGTGTATTTGATCTTATTTTGACCTCGGTTTGAAAGTGGCATTGTTTAACCCTTACTTAACTTGCATTCTTTTAGTAGTGTAGCCTTAGCGATGGGTTTATTTTCCGTCTTCTTGTCTTTAACATCATTTTTTTCTAAAAAGGATGTTAAATTATATTAGTTTCAGTAAACAACTTGAACAGAATATATGCTATTACAAGCAAGTCTATGGAGAAGTCTAATCAGTCACCTCTGAATTAACCCTGTAGTTCTTAAAGTGTCCAGTAACTTCCAGGGTTTTGTTCTGTTTTGTTGGGTTTTTTTGTTGTATTTTTTACATGCAGCGAAACCTCACTGGGTCCAGATTATAAAAGATGTTGAAACTGCAGTGGAGGATACCTTATATTGGGATTGTAAGGCGAGTGGGAAACCCAAACCATCCTACAGATGGATGAAGAATGGAGAACCTCTAGCATTAGAGGTAACGTCCATTTTTTTTAAAGTGAAGTCATATGCAATAATGATTGCTACCTGTTAATTATAAGTTAAGTGAGGTTATCAAGAAGAGCCTGTGAGATGTCTTATGGACATGAAATAACATCCATCTGGATGTTCACCCACAATTCACAAAAAATACTGTTTTACCAGAAAAGGAGAGAGGCAGTTAAAAGGAGATATGAAAGCATTACTAATGATATGGAAAAAATCAATATAGCAAAAATAAGAAGTAGCATGTAATTTAATACACTTGATCTATTAATGTCCAATAGTTAAATACAGTAAGAAAGCATTTTTATACATGTCATGAACAGTGAGGCAGAAATCTTGAATAGATATTTATGTTTTTGTATTTGGATCAAGTTAGGAAGCTGTAGCTATCCCAGATGATGTACCCTGAAAATTTGCTATCTGTGACAAAAGAGGATTTGAAACAGTTTATTTAAATTAAAGAGTAAATACCTTTTTTTTTTCAAATCAATAATCTCAGGATTTTTAAAGGATCTAGCCAAATAACTCTTAGGAAAAAATCTTGGAAAACCAAGGAAATTCCAAAGGTTTGGAGGCCTGACAACATAATCCTGACATTTAATAGGGATGACCTTGGGAACAATAGACAAATTGAATTGAAATCCATCTCGGGCAAAATCACGGAATAGCCTATTCAGGACTCTATTAAGAAAGAATAAGAGGTTAAACATATAATTAATATGAGTCAACCTGATTTCATGGAAAGTAAATCTTGTCAAGCAAACTGTTATCTTTTTTGAAAAGATTACTGCTCTCATACATTCCCTAGGGCACGTTACTTAGTACCATACGGCATCTTGATTGAACAACTTGCAGGCCAGACATTTGACTATGTATAATTAACAGGGCACGCACTGTATAGATTAGAAACTGACTCACTGACAGATTGCAAAATGCAGTTTTAATGGGAAGACATCAGTGAGTGATCCATAAAGGGATCCCCCAAGAATTGGTTCTTAGTCCAACACTATTCAGCATTTTTATCAGCAAGTTAGATGATGATATAAAAGACTTGCTGCCTAAATTTACAGATGTGACAAGTTTGTGGGGACGTAAATAGGATGACAGGTTACCTTTACAGAATGATATGAATTACCTAATGGTCACATTCCAACAAGGAAGTGTTTTGACACACTTAAGTGCAAGATAATACACTTAGGAACAAAGAATGTAGGCCGTACTTACAGGGTGAGAAACTACATCTTGGAAAGCAGTGAAGGACTTGGCATCATCATAAATAACTGTCTTGCCATGAGCTATCACTGTAGTGCTGTGACCAAACGGTCAGTGTGATCCTTGAAAGGGAATATCAAGTAGAAGTAGAGAAGTTATTGACATCAAGTCGAGTGTGTAGCTGACACTTCAAAGGACAACATTAGGATTCAAAATGACCTTGATAACTTGGAAAAAATGGTTTGAAATCAATAGGATGAATTTTAATCAGGACAACTACAAAGTACTATGTTTAGGAATGAACAATCACATGCACAAATACAAAATGGGGAATGGTTGGCTAGGCTGAAGTACTCTAGGGCGGGATCTGGTGGTTAAAGCAGTTTGCAAGATTAAAATGAGTCACCAATATGATACTGTTGCAGAAGAAGCTAGTAGCACACTGGGACGTTTTAAAAGGCATGAAGTGGGCCAGTCACTGGAAGTGATTCATCTACTCTGCTCAGCATTGGTAGGGCTCACCTGGGACGCTGTGTCCAGTTTTCTGTACAAAAGTCCTTTTTAGACTGGAAACCAATGCAAATTGCAAATTTAGAGCAGGTTGATTCCATAATTTCTGTGCCTCTAACTCTCGTGATTTTATCACAAGTCCCATATTTGGTGTGAAAACCCCAGCTCTTGGAGGATAATGATTATTAAAAACCTCAGCTGTTGCATTTTTAAGGAAGACGTTTCTCATACGCATTAGAGGGTAATTTTGAAAATATAAAGCAACTTTCCCCTTAAGACTCAGTTATTGTTCTCCGCCTTTTCAAATATCTACTTAAGATCTGCATGAGCCTGAGTTATGATTTTTGAATGTTTGGGACGAGCAGTGACATGCTTTGCTAGTTAGAGCACAGGTGACAAACTGGAGCATGTAGGAGAGGATTTAAATCTGGTGTCTGGTTCAGATCTACAACAGATTTTCACCCCTGTGCACAGAGCACATGCTCTACATAAGTTTCATGTAGAACCCCATTGGGACCTCTGTACAAAGATAAATTCAACCTCTTATTTCCTGTCAGACTTAATGTACACTGTCACTGAAGGTATTTTTCTTAATACCCAGGGAAGGATCCAAATTGAAAATGGTGCACTTATAATATCAAATCTAAATCTGACAGATTCTGGCACGTACCAGTGCATAGCTGAAAACAAACATGGAGTGATCTCTTCCAGTGCCGAGCTCCAGGTTGTAGGTAAGATTATTTTTCCTTTCTACTAAGGACAGAAAAGTGCCTCTACTATTGCTACTAGTAATATGTTAATGATCTCAAATGTTTAACCTGTCCAGATGCGCGCAACAAAAGAAATGTGTTTTATCACAATGTTTGTTCTTAGCTGCAATGCTGAAGAGTTAACACGCCTGCTTTAAGAGGATGTGTTGGAATAAAAGCCACTGCGCGTTCAGTACAATCATTCATTGCTTTAAAAATGGACACAGAGATAAATTATTAATTAGGGGAAGAGCAGAAACAATGGCTTGGATGCAGGCCCAAAGATTAAAACTAATCACACAATCTAGAAGCAACATTGGCTCAGCACATTAGTCAGTAGCACTGACCTTCTGCATCATGACTCCAGCATCCCCTGGAGAGCAATGTCATTTAAAAGCAATAAGATGATTTTACGTGCAACCTTCCTTGATCGAGGGGACAAGGGTCTGCCATTTAGTTGTCCAGGTAATGCGTGCTTGTTTTTAAAACAAATGACAACCACTTATTAGAGCAAAACACTGAATTTGCAAAGTGCCCTGTGAATTCAAATGTTTTCACTCATTTTCCTTATAATGCAGGAAAGAGTCTTTGGGAAATTTAATTGGAACTGGGTTTGTAGAAAGAGTGGTGTGTTTTCAGAACACAAACTAGTTCCCTTCTGCTGATAAGGTTACGAGTCAATCACTAGACAACTCGTTCATCCTGGGGCCCCTAAAAAATATGGATTTCCATTTAAGGTTCCATGATTAACATGGTTAGATGTCATGCACATTTACTTAACTGTTAACAAATACAGAATATAACTCTACCGTCCGTTCCGAAGCATCTGACACAGTTAATGAAACACGGTGATCTGACTCCGGCTTAGTTGTCAAAAATCCCTTGGGTTCTTATCCGGGCTCTGGCATTGATTCCCTTAGTTCTAATAGGCAAATTATTTAACCCTGAACTCAAAAAAAAGCACTTGAGCATGTCCTTCAAATGATGCCTGTGTTTAAATCCCACTGACATCAGCAGGACTTAATTACATGTTTCAGTCTAGAGGAAGTCAGTGGGACTTGTTAGCACATGCTTCAAGTTAAGCATGGCCTAGCAGGCTTTGCACAATGTGCTGCATTTGAAAGCTTATCTGAGTTTATCCCAGCCATGCAATAAAAGATATCACCCACAAGAGTTCTTCCCTCTTGCAGTTTAAATTTTGGCATTTCGGGTCCTCATGAATGGGGTTTGAATTAGCTAATAAACTTGTGCTTTCTAATAACACTTAGAAATGCTGAGAAGTGGCTCAGAGGCTGAGAAATGTCATGGAAGTGCTACATCATAAAATGCCTGGTAAAAGTTAAACCAGTTTTATTTCACTGTTGATATTCCCACTGTTTTAGCTTCTGCTCCAGATTTCTCCAAGAACCCAATGAAGAAATTGATTCAGGTTCAAATAGGCAGCACTGTTAATTTTGAATGCAAGCCAAAAGCTTCCCCTAAGGCAAAATGCTCCTGGAAGAAGGGAGGTGAGCTGCTACACGAAAATGAAAGGTATTATAATGGTTTTGTTTTGATCTTATTAAAAGCTTGTTTATAACCTGCAAACTCTTTTGTCAGGATATCTATGCAGTGATGGATTTTCAAATCTAAATAGTTGTGCAGAAAATTCTTCCCTGAGATATGAGAAACCTGCGTATAGCTTCCATTGAAGTCAATGGGCCAGCTTTGGCTTTCAGTTTCACAGAAATAAAAAAATGCAGAATTTGGCCCAAGGCAGAGGCAACCTGGCAGTGAAGTGTAGCATGGACATGCACTGCAACTTCAAAATATAGCATGAAATACTTGGGCGTAAACAAAAATGTAGGAAATCTGTGAAGGAAACAAATCTGGACTTGTGATGTGGGAAGTAAAGATACAAAGCTACCCTGCTTTCTGCTTGACTCCAGACTAACATGGCTAACTACCTCTCTCAAGTAATGCTGTGCCCTGATGAGAATCTGTCTAGGAAACAGGAAAAAGAATAGGGGGAGGAGTGAGTCCATGATTGACTTTCACCGTGGCTAAAGCTTCAGAGTAGGGTGGCAACCCAAGCTCTTGTGGTTGCTTTAATGTATGTATTAATGATCTGGCAAAATATGTAACTGGTATAGTTCACATTTTCAGAAGACACACAATTATTCAGGTAACATCAGGTTGCACCTAATAAAGCCAGGCAGATCAGGCTTGAACAGCAGCAGATGAAAGTATTGACAAATGCCAAGGTAATTGTCCATTGAAAAAGAAAAAAACTGAACTACACATACACAATGTGTTGTTGAACAGTACCTCCAATCATTTCGGGGAAAAACTTGGGTATCATTGTGGACAGATGAATGATAACATCTGCTTAGTGTGCAGTCAGTCCAAATAAGTGTTATGGCATGTACAGAATGGAATAGAAAATCAAAACGGATGCAATGGCCTTACTTTGAATGCCATGATCAGTGCTGGTCACCTTTTCTCAAATGCATAGCTGAAATAGCGGCAGATGAGAAATGACCGATTATAATGATTAGAAGCATGAGAAGACTTCAATATTAACAGAGACTGAAAAGATTAGTCCTGCATGGTTTAGAGAAGAACTAAATAAGATGAGATAATAGAATGACATGAAATAATGAATTATGGACAAAGGATTATCCAGCACTTTTATTTATCTTTTGTCATAGCACAATGATAAGCAATAATGGGTGTGTCTAGACATGCATTAATGAGCCTAATTCTACTATGCATCAGCATATTAGCACACTTTTGCCAGGATGCACTAATGCACAGTAGAATAGGCTACTGGGCATTACAGTATCTCGTGCAGATGTGCCCAGTAAAAACTGATGTATGTAATATATATATTTAATTTTTTTTTAAAGTCTGATTTGTCCGTGGGACTCATTGCTACAAGTTGGCCTTAAAGGCAGGACTTTAATAAGCATTAAGTAAAGACTAGCAGTTGGGATGTATAGAAACATTCACTTTTGAACTAGGTTTTGTCTTCTGAAAGTCAGCAGTAGTTGATGTGGAGTTAAGCCATCACTATCAACTGCCTAAATATCCATTTATATCCATACAAATTTATAATGAGAGCATGTTCAAGTACATTAGATACAACTGAAAAATGTGTAAGAGATAAAAACACTCATGCTTCTAGATACCAACCAGTTAGTTAATGAAAGTTATTCTCTAGTTGTCTCTTTCTCCGAAGCACCTGGTACTAGTCATGAGTGAAGATTGCATACTGGGATAGATATAGCAGTGCTCTGCTCTAGAATGGCAACTTTTGTGTTAAATTCTCCATTTCCCAGATAATAAATTTGACACTAATGAGAAATTACTGTTGTCTGATATTGTTCCAGATGGACCTCTATGGCCTCAGGTGGGTTTGTTTCAGTGTTGGGAGATAGGCTTTCCATCTGTGTTTTCACGTGGAATTATTTGGTGAGCATCCAGGAGGTTGAACTGGATTTGTGGGATTTTAAGTCATCAAGGCCTCTTCTCACTTCAAAACTGCATCTGCTGAATGAGTTACTTAAGAGGCAATACTTTCCCTGTCTCACAATGGGCCATGCTCACTGCATGCAGACTTATCAAGAACTCTGTCTGGACGCAACAGACACTTTTATAAACACTTGACACCTAGTCTGCTTTACTGGGGTGAGGTGGGGTAGCTCAGCGAATAGCCCGAAACAGTGAGCTACCCACTCCCACCCCACCCCGTACAAGATGCTACTAGATGCAAAGGACTAAAAATAACCAGGCAGTACAATGTAAATAGCTAAAAGGAGAAAAATATAGTTTTGACACTTCACCAGGGAAAGGCTGATGATTCATTTATTTTCTTTAAAAAAACCGGTGTGCCTCAAAATATTTAGGGAATCCCCCAAGAACAAACATTCAGAAGTAAATCAGTTTGCACTTGCCAGCTCTGCTATGCATTCTCTTTAAAACTGCATGTATTTTGTGCTTAATCTATGGTAAAACACAGGGAAACATAGCACTCTATTCTGGAACAAGGGTTGTTTGCAGACATTAAAAAAAACCCCACCCATGCTTTACGGGAAGCACCAGCACGTTACTTTGACTTAGCTCTGCAGCATCTGTATAGATCAGGTGCTTCAGCGGGGCTTTTTGGCGCTTTTATCTAAAACTGAGTCAATCGACTATTAGATAAAAGCACCAAAAAAGCTCTGCTAAAGCACCTGATCTATACAGACGTTGGGCTAGTCGGGTCCAGTTAGCACGCTGCCTCTTTTGGGCACGCACTGGGCTCTGCGAGGGAGCGTGCCGAGCTTAAAAATAAAGCAACATTTTTGGAGGTTTTTTTAACATCCGCAAGCAGCTGTAATAATGATGCACATTTCCCCCAATTCTTGGGTATTTCCCATGCTTTCAGACTTTGCTGGTTGCCAGTAGGGCCAAGTAGGAACTTTTTTTCCCCTCCCAATACTGTGCGTGTCAGATGGAAGGGGTCGCCTCCCTCAAAAGCATTAGAGGTTTCTTGCAGCCAAGGCTGGGGGTTTCAACTGGGGTGCTTCCAACTTACCTTCTAGCCAGAGACCTGCAAGTATTGCCCCTTCACTCAGGGTCAGACCAATTGCCATATATGTGGTCAAGAAGGAATTTTACCCCATGGTGATATTGATACCTGTGGGGGGATGGTTGCCTTGTCGGTAGTAGAGGACATGCCACCCTTCCTTGGATCTCTCAAGTGTATTTTAACAACCCTTGTAGCAACAAGACACTGGCAGTGGTAGTATACCTTTTACCTGTGGCAGGTTAGGGTGTTGAGTCTTGTGGTTATATAAGGATTGACTGTGTAGCTCTACTAATAAATTGGACAAAGGATGTGTATGGGATGGTTGGATAGAAATGATCCTGCCTCAGGTAGGGGTTGGGCTTGATGACTTATACAGGTCCCTTCCTGCCCTACTTTTCTCTGATTCTGTATTCTTATATAGCTTCTTGCAGCCCCTGAATTTGCTTGGCTAGTAGATGTTTTTCACGTGAAGTTTCCCTTCACCTTGACCTGTCACAGCATCCCATTGACACGTGAGATTATGACAGTGCCCACCAAGACCTGCAAGATCTCCATTGGAACGGAGCGTATTTCAGTCGTCGCTATTTTCTCACCTGCCTACTTGCTCTTACATGACGCGGCTTGCGCAAATACCATAAAACCTGATCTTGTTTCCATTAGGAAGCAGGCAACTGATTTCACTGGGAGGAAAGACCAAACAATATAGACGATACAAATGTCTCGCTGAGCAAATGTGTTGAGCATGCAAAGTGCTGCCTGCCTAGATTTATGCATGTACTTCAAACTCAAAATTATGGTATTTAATCATGCAAACTGTGTGCAGGTGTTTTTCAAATATAGCCCAGGGTAACTGCTGCTGTAGTTCTGACACACACTATAAATGACTTATGGAACAAATGTAATAATAAGACAATAATCCTGGATTAATCTAAATGAAGTGTGCTTGCCTTGTGAGTAAAACAGAATTGTGGATCTTTGAAGAAAACTTCTAGTTCATTACTGTTGCCTGTGAATAATTGCAATTCATGAATCTGCGGCAGTTGTACAAAAATTGCAATTCAGGAAAGGCTGGCGTTAATGGCACTTTTTTTTTTCATTAACTGGTCTCCAAATAAAAAAGTCTGTTTATTAAAATGAGCAAACACAAAGGATAAGGCTAATACCAAAATCGGAGCTAGACTGCCCGCCTCACTGAATGGGTACACACAGGCTTGGGACCCAAGCATAGAGAGCTCTGCCCTGCTTTCTAAATCCCCCTCCCCACATGTAAGGAGGCAGGGGGAGTTAGCAGGACCTGTGCTGCGACCCCTCCTCACCCACCATCAAGCAGGTAAGTAAGCTAATTCTTGCAAGGGGCGCAATAAGTGATTTTCCCTTCCTTAGACCTCTCTGGGAGGGACGCAGCTATACTTCACCCCTTACATATTGCCGTGCTTACAGCTAGTTGTCTTGTAAGGGTGACTGCATTATGGTGCTCCTTATCCACCCACTCGCACTGGTACCTTCATCACATCAACTTTACTGGGGTTACTTGTTGGATAAGAGAGCTACCCATGTTCAGTGAAGGTGAGTGGGTATATTGGAGCAAATTCCATTCTTAGTTATACTCGCACAAATCTGCAGTAAATCCTGTACAGTCGATCCATTTTTAAGAAAGCTTATCACTTGAATAATGAAAGTTCTATATAAAATGCAGTTACTATGTTATTTCAAAGCATTCCCAGAATGCTGTGTTTTAACAATTTATATTTCTTTGGGTGTAGTAGCCCCACTCTTTTTTTTAACATGAAAGGCTTTTGCTTTGATATCATTATGGCTTACATTTTTTCTGAATTTGTTGCTGCATTTTCAGCTCACGGGAGATTTGGAGAATGACTCGATAGGCTTAATTAAATGAGCTAAAAATGTCTTGGAGAAAGGGAGCGCATGATTTAGAAATGAAGGTGTATGTTCCAGACTGAGAAACTACTCAAAATGGGGG